ACTCCGCTTGGCCCCGCCCCACTCCGCTTGACCACGCCCCCAAATTAGTGTGACCGCGGCCTCATATTACCGTGGCCACGCCCCCTTCGCGTGACCACGCCCCTCAAACCAATGTGGCCACGCCCCCCAGCTCTGCTGGCTGAGGAGGCGGTTGGTGGGAGCGGTGCGAGGGGAGGCGGGGGTTTGCGGTCCGGGTGGGGGAGGAAGGGAGTTGGGCTCTCCTGCTGCTCTGTGCCGTTCAGCAGGGTGAGGAGCATGCTGCTCCAAGCGAGGCAGATGTAGGGTGAGTTTCCTAGTAGGCTTGGTAAGAGGGCACCTCAGGTCCCACGTGTAGCAGACAGCTGCAGACCCTTAAAGTTCATCTAGTCCAACTCCCCTGCAATGAACAGGGACACCCACGGCTCCATCAGGTGCTCAGAGACCCTCCAGCCCGACCTTCAGTGTCTCCAGGGATGGGGCATCCACCACCTCTCTGGGAACCTTGTGCCACTGCCTCACTACCCTGATTGTAAAATATTTCTTCCTTATATCCAATATCTAAATCTTCTCTCTTTTAGTTTGAAACCCCCAGTGGTTCTGGCTGGAGCGTGTGGTAGTGTCAGAGCTGTGAAGCTGAGGAGCGGTGCCTTAGGTGGCCATGTCAGGGTCTGCAGCCTTGACAGAATCAGGTGGACCACCCTAAAGTGTTCCTGCTTTTTGGCCATGTTTGAACAGGACACAGCTGCGTTGAGGTTTCTTCTGTTCCGCACCTGAAGCCTCTGTGATGTTTGCCGTCTTCTCTCTCTGTCCTGCCTTGGCTTTGCTCTCCCGCCCTGTTGCCAAAATCTCTGTGGCAGGATTCCTCCCAGAGACCTTCTTCCTTTGCTCCTCTGCCACACTGAATTTCCACAACTAATCTGCTTCTTACCTTCTCCAGCACTGGCAGCCTGCTTGTTCAGCTTATTGGTGTCTGGAGCTAAGCTCGACTTACAGTTGTGACCACAACCCTGTCACGATGGCTTCAGTCTTTCGACTTCTTATTTCTGTTCCCGCTTTGATTTTTACCCAGAATCTCAATAACTATAATAGTTTAATCTCATGTGGTAATCTTGCTTGCTTTTATCCTTCCTGTCTCTATTAGCAGGAACAACACTGATACCCTATTGGAAACACTAGGGTTTCTTGTTTATGCTGCACTTCTTCCACTACCCCTATCCAGACTCTTGCCTTCCTTCGTATCCATCCTGCTTATCTTCAAACTTCAGGGTTTCCTGTGGAGTTTGCACACTGAGCCAACTGCTTGCACTCACTGTTGGAAGTTCTTTGTCTCCACTTTCATCCTAGGCCTTCATTTTTTTCCCAGTCTGTTCTATCCCTGCTGATTTGCAGGTGGTGTTCCTCAAGGTATTGGTGAAGAGTTGTGGCTGTCAGGTGAAGTTCCTGGTGATTGGAAAGGCAGTGTCAAACCTGTGTTTAAGAAGGATAGGAAAGAAGAGCCAGGGAACTACCAATCTGTCAGCCTCACTTTGGTGGTGGGGAAGACCATGGAGTATATTGTAGATCCTCCTGGAAGCTATGCTAAGATACGGGGAAGTGAGGGAGGTGATACGGGATATCCAGCATGGCTTCATTAGGGGTAGGTACTGCCTGACCAAACTTGTTGATTTTTGTGATGATGAAACGGTGTGAGTGGACAAGGAAAGAGACACTGGGCTTCAGTAAGGCTTTTGACACAGTCTCCTGTAACATCCTACTCTTCAAATTGGAAGGATACGTGTTTGACAGGTTGATTGTTCAATGGATGAGGAACTGGTTACAAGATAGACCAATATATATACCCAGAGAGTGGTGGTCAATGGTTCAATGTCTGGATGGAGACTGGTGATGAGGCATGTCCCTCAGGAGTCAGTACTGAGCCTGCTGCTCTTTAACATCTTCATCTGTGACACTGACAGTGGGATCATCCCCTGTACTCAGCTCTGGTGAGGCCGCACCTCGAGTGCTGTGTTCAGTTTTGGGCCCCACTGCAAGAAAGACATTGAGGTTCTGGAGCGGGTTCAAAGAAGGGCCACAAAGCTGGTGAGGGGTCTGGAGCACAGGGCTTATGAGGAGCGGCTGAAGGAGCTGGGAATGTTCAGTCTGGAGAAGAGGAGGCTCAGGGGAGACCTCACTGCTCTCTGTAACTGCCTGAAGGGAGGTTGTAGTGAGCTGGGGGTCAGCTTCTTCTCTTGTGTAACTGGTGATAGAACTAGAGGGAATGGCTTCAAGCTGTGCCAGGGGAGATTTAGGCTGGACATTAGGAAATACTACTTCTCTGAAAGAGTGGTCAGGCACTGAATGGGCTGCCCAGGGAGGTGGTGGAGTCACCGACCCTGGAGGCGTTCAAGGAATGTTTGGATTTTGTGTTGAGGGACATTTTTTAGTGAGAACTGTTGGTGATGGATGGATGGTTGGACTGGATGATCCTGTAGGTCTTTTCCAACCTTGGTGTTTCTGTGATTCTGTGAATCGAGTGCACCCCAAGCAAGTTTATGGATGATACTAAGCTGTGTGGTACAGTCAACATGCCGGATGGACTGAATGCCATGCAGAGTCCTAAACAGGATAGAGCAGAGGATACAAATGAACCTCATGAGGTTCAACAAAGCCAAGTGCGAGGTCTTGCACCTCGGTAGTGGCAACCCCCATTGCGAGTACAAGCTGGGAGATGTAAGGATAGAGCACAGTCTTGCCAAAAGGACCTAGGGGTACTGGTGGATGGTAAGCTGGACATGCGCCAGCAGTGTGCCCTCACAGCCCAGAAAGCCAACTGTATAATGAACTGCATCAAAAGCAGTGTGGCCAGCAAGGCAAGGGAGGTGATCCTGCCCCTCTCTTCTGCACTGATGAGACCTCACCTGGAGTACTGAGCATCCAAATGTGGAGTCCTCAGTACGGGAGAGGCAGAGACATGTGGGAATGAGTCCAGAGGAAGGCCACAAAAATGATCCAAGGGATGGAACACCTCTCCTATGAGGACAGGCTGAGAGAGCTGGGGCTGTTCAGCCCAAAGAAGAGAAGGCTTTGGGGAGACCTGAGTTCAGCCTTGCAGTATTGAAAGGGAGGCTGTATGAAATAAGGGAACAGACACTTTAGCAGGGTCTGCTGTGATAAGACAAGAGAAAATGGTTTTAAACTAAAAGAGGGAAGATTTAGATGTTGGATATAAGGAAGAAATATTCTACAATCAGGGTAGTGAGGCAATGGCACAGGTTGCCCATTGAAGTGGTGGATGCCCCATCCCTGGAGACGTTGAAGGTCAGGCTGGAGGGGCTTTGAGCACCTGATGTAGCTGTAAGTGTTCCTGTTCATTGCAGGAGAGTTGGACTAGATGAACTTTAAGGGTCCCTTCCAACTCCATTGGTTCTTTGATTTCTTGATCAAACACCACTCACACTCCTTAATCCCAGTCAGTTTGAACCCAAGCAACCTACATGAGAGAAACCAGGAGCATTTTTCCATGCTTATGTGTGTGTACTTATCAGCTGTGAACTCTACATCCGGATTTTTATCAGTGTTGCAGGAAGCACAGAGGTTGCACAGAGGGCTTTGAGGTCTCCATTCTTGGTGGTTTTCAAGACCAGACTGGTTAAAACTCTTAGTATCCTACACTTAACGCTCCTGTCCCTTCCAGCCTGGATGTTTGTCCTGTGCTATGGCCCAGTGCCAGGCAGAATCTGGCAGTCAAGGACTGGAATGGTAAGATGTAGTGGATCACGTAGGAAGGCAAGACATGATCACGGAGTGTTTTTTTTCCCCAGTTCTTGAAACTGATCTTTGGCTTGGTAAGGATTCCTGCATTGTGGGTTGTTGCTGTTATTGGCTTATTATCATTATTATTATGCTTGTTGTGATGTTTGGCCATTCATTCAAACTTACCGTGGTTAACATTGGACTCCAGGCTTCCTCTTCAAGTTTCTGCTTCTTCCTTTCTCCATCCCCTTATTTTATTGCCGTTAAAGCTTGTAAGCTGAATGTCAAATCTGAAGTTGTTCCTGCTTACGTGCTTCAGGACTCTGTTCATTCTTTTCATCACAATTTTTGTTGATTACAGTTTTTATAATGCTACACTTCCATTTAAATTAATCTTGTCCACATAGAAATTTGTAGTCTCAAGCTTACCTATCTTTGAAGTGAATTATTGAAGTATTTTCTTTTCCTAGAGATCCCCTTGTTTGTATGTTCATGTGAGAATTTTCTTAATCTTTGTAAATGTTCCTGTGAGCCAGTAGTTTTCTGATTATGGCACTTCTCATTTCTCTTGAAAGTCACCATCTCTGGTTTGTCTTCTGTGCTTTCCTTCTGATTACAAGTTTTTAAGACTGAGTCTTTGTTTCATGTCTTATGTCATATTAGCTCTATACTAAAAAAAACCCCTAAACTGTATGAGCTGGAACGTAGCTAACCTTGAAAATCACTGTGAAGCAGAAGTGTGTTAAACTTGGCTGGTAATGAGAGGACTCCTGAAACCAAATCAGGAATTTTATGATTTAAATAAATATCATTGTCTGCAATCATAATCTAAAAGGAAGCCGGAAAGAAGCATAAATATACTACTTGCATACTCAGCTTTTTTTCTTTTTTTTTTTTAAACTGGGTCAACTGTTGCTCATACTAAATCTGTTTATCCAGCAGAAAACTATTTCTGAGACCTTTCAGAATGCTTAATGTGGGGTGCTTCACTAATTTCCTGCTCCTCCTTTTCCTCAGACAAGAAAAACTTTGCCTTGCCTTCTGTGACAAAACTGCTGAAAATCATTCTTTAGTGGAAGCACTCCAAGGTTAATGGAATAGCTCTTTCAGTTTCTTTTTATAATATCACTGATTTATTTCTTGAAACACTAATGATAATTAGAAAAACTGTTGAATCAATCACTGAGAGAACATATCTCCCTTTTTGGCCACTTGTGCTGTGTTACGATTCTTGTATTTGCCCAGTTCATATGAGCAGACCATCCATAGTTCAGCACATTAAACTGGAGATGACTATTTCTTTTGTTTTGTCTTCTTGTCAGATTTTTCTGATCTTTGGAAACATCTTCAGTCATCTCTCAGGAACAAAGGCAAAGCAGAAAATGGCTGAGCAGCCAAAACTACTGCGTAGACCTCTGCCTCCCAGGCTGCCATCTAAACTGCCTACATCAAGGGAGAAGGTTGGTAAAGGTAAATTATATAAAAACAGTTCTTGTAGTGCATAGTTTCAAATTCCATATGTTCTCTGAAGTTAACACACAAGAAGATGAATCTTGTTGGTTAATCTGTAAATTCACAACAGAGTGCAGGGAAATATCCATGCTGGCTTCAGTCAGGCAGTTCTAATGCTGAAGCTTCTTGACAGTGCAGTATGGAAGATCGTGAACAATGCTGATGTTCAGTGCAAGCATACTAATGCATGTTGATGCTAGCCCACTCTCTTACTGAGTGCAAAATGTGCTGGAGGTGTCTATTTGTAATTGCTGTGGCTTTTCAGTAAGTGATTAGTCTACATAATCATAGAATCATAGGATGATTGGGGTTGGAAGAGACCTTTAAGATCATCCAGTTCCAACCCCCTCTATAAGCAAGGACACTTCCCTCTAGACCAGTTTGCTCAAAGCCCCATCCAGCCTGGCCTTACCAGCATGTGCTGTAAGCTGCTAGGGCAGAGCAGTGTGAATAGGTCTGCGTGATTATCTGAACCACTGCATCTCTCTGGGAGGCTGTTCATGTAAAATAATGGAAGGGTGGTTGAGACAGGTGTGGGAACCTGCCACTTTTCTGACTTGAATGCTACCCCACTAGCTTGTCTAAGAAAATAAGATATAACATGAGAAACCCCTGGTTTTGGGAAAAGATGTATTGAAACAGATGAGAGTCAAACCATAGGGGTAGTGATATACAACTTTGATTCAGAGAAAATAAGAAAAAATGTTTGGAGGGGGTGGTCATATTCTTAGAATGTCCATGTGTGTGAAAAGACATGTACTGGCTTATATTATTTTAAAGGCATCAGGAAATCCTATTTAAGAACAGAGACTTGCAGTGCAGTATGGTTCAGAAATAAGCAGATATTTTATGTGCCAGTATATGTGAATGAAAAGCTCTTTTCAGTTTATATAAAGTAGCCATTGATTAAATATTTAAGCGCTAACCTTTAAAAATAAAAACAAAAAAGCAATAAAATGATCTATAATAAAATATTTTTAACACAAGTGATATAAGAAACTGGAAACTATTCACTGATCCTGAAGCCAGAACTATAAAAGAGATTCTTGATGTTTGAACAGATTTGCTGACTTCAGCAAAACTGTGAGACTTCAGGATCTGCTGTAGAAATATGGCATATTGAATTGTTCAACTTTTTTTTTTTTTTCCCACCGATTAACACATGAAAATTAAGGTAATATGAAATAATAAAGGTAGTATCAAAGAACTGTGCTGTCCCTACAAACTGATCTAAAGTGATAGATCATTTACTGCTTTTTATTTCCCTCTGGATTCTGTAATTCCGTTAGAGCATCTAAATAGCTAAAACTATTCAGTCTTCATGTAATCATGAGAGACTAGAAGGAAAAAATATTTTGTGTTATGTTTGAAATAAATTATAAGCAACTTTATTTGTTACAGCTCATTTGTTTTTTGGTTGTTTTTTTGTTTGTTTTTAGAACACTGTCATGCTATATTTGTAATTATTAACAGGTAACATTAACTTTAAAGGAAAAACGATGATATATTGTGTAATTTCTTTATAAAAGTGCTAAAAATATTAAGGAGAATTCAGTTAAACAAACAAACAAAAAAAAAGTAATTATTAGGCCCTTCTGAAGCTAGCAAAATCTATTCAATACATTTCCAGCCTGGCACTGTTGAAACAGATGTAAATATTTCTGGCTCAATACCAGAGCTATGCTCCCATGATTTAAAACATTTTAAAAGTGATAGATAAACCTTTTATCCTCAGAGTTTTATTGTGATGGCTCTTCTTGTAGTAGAGCATATGATTAGTGATGGTTGCTATTTATGGATTATGTATTTTTGCAGTACACCTGACAAGAATCCAAGATCCGCACAATAAAGTTTGTTCAAGGATCATTTCTCCAAATGTAACCGTTGCACCTGACAGATATTTAAACAGCAGCATGACCATTGATCAAAAAGCAACTCTTCAGCAATGGTGTTTCAATCATTTTTGGGGACAGAATTGTTTTGTGCTTCATGAAGTGTGAGACTCAGACCTGGGGCCTGGAGCTCTGAGCTAGGAAAAAAAAGATGAGCCTTTTAGTGGTACGTCGTAAGTGTCTTCCTCAGCAGGGAACTGTAGAAAGTGAGGATGTAATACAATAAAGCAGTTGACTGAAAATGCAGAAGAAATTTCAAGATGTGGTGGTGGACTGTACCTGGTACAGAGCTTGAAGTTGTCAGCCACAGTACTGGAGGGCAAGAAATCGAGGGAGATAACCCAATGGTCCCAGCTTACTTTGGGAGCTGAGCTGCAACAGAGAGCTAGAGAGAGAGGCTTCTCCTTCAGCAGGTCCCAGAAAATGAGTTTCCCTAGCAAAGGGAGCAAAGCAGCAAGCTTGTGGAACTACACAGGCTGAATGAAGAGTAATTTTGTAAGAATTTCTTTGTTGATAGAAGTGTTCAGGGCTAATTACTTCTGGATGCAGTACTGTTTGGAAGCTGGGGTCTAGCTAAGGAGCCAATAGACCTTCAGAATGAGCCCTGGTAGCAAAGTGGCTATTATGTGAGGAGTATGAAATGAATCTCCACCTCAGTGGTGTGGGACACTAGGGCTCAGCACCATCACACCGCACATGTTACTCATTAAACTGAGATGAATAAGCTGAGTCAATAGAATTTCTAAGCTTCATTCTCAATGTCTTTCTTTTCTCTTGTTTTCAGCAGGCAGGGGTTTTGGACAATACCGAGCAGGAGTGACAAAGAGTACGAATGATAAAAATGGAAAAGCTGTGTTTGCCAGTTATGCCAGTACTCAAGGGCAAGTCAAGCAGACAGATGTTTCCTTCAGCCATGGTCACGTTTCCCAGAATCTGGTGAAAGCCCAGCCCGAAGATGCATTCCTGTCTGTACATCAGATTTGCCAAAATCAAGCACAAATCCAACTCAAAGATCTCCTTCAGTCTCAATACCTGTCCAGCAGTATCCAACCCCAGTCTGACCACATTTCCTCTTGTTCAGTACATTTCCAACACCAACATGTACGTCAGCTTAATCAAGACAGTAAATATAGGCAAACACAGATCCAGTCCAAAAGGACAGGTTTTCATGACCAAAGGAGAGGTTTAATTCTGTCTGAAACAAGTTTCCCCGCAGAAGATGTGAAGCAGAAGGGTGATCTAGTTTTTAAGAATAACAAGTCTGCACATTGGTCTTTACGAGGCAATACTGCAAGCCTGGTTGGTCAATATGAAGTTATTCCTATCTGCTCAAGCAGACCAATGCCAAACCAAAGCAAAGAAAAAAATGTGTTTTCTGCCCAAATTCCTAGGAGAGATTTTATTCTTACTAAAAGTCCCAGTGGGTCTGATTACTTCTCATTTTGCAAAAATCATAAATTCTCTCATGTGAAGCATCAAAAATTACAGAGCACTGGCCCTGCCCATTCCACTCCTCCTGTATTTACACTGGAAAGTTTAGCTGCAGGTTCTTCTCACCATCTGCCTTTGAAGACAACCCTCAAAAAGCCGTTTGTTTCCCGCTACAACTATGAAGTCCTCAGTAACCGGTTAATGACTGAAAGCAGGAGCTTGCAGACTGAAGTTAACACAGTGATTTTGTCTGACATCGCTCTACCTGCAGATAAAACAAGAAAGCCTGAGCAGCAGAAGTTCCTAGGTAATTAATATTAAACATTGTAGTATCTTTTTGCAATCTCTTGCAGGGAGAAAGAAAAAAAAACACCAAAACCCCCCAAAAAACACTTTGTTTTTGTTTGTGTGGGTCTTTGAATTTGCCCTCATTACTTGAGAAATAACTAGTGCAGAATTATAACTTGTGATAATTAAATGAAATGTTGTGTCTTCAGATAGCAGAACACGGTGATTTAAATGTATGCAACTTTATTATAAAGATGGTGTATGGGAATTGTGAAAAGTCCTGTCATTTAGGTCTTTGAAGATGGTGGGTCCATTCATCACCGTGGATTTAGGAAGGCAGTTCTGACCCTTATATGGGTCTTTGGCCTTGTCTTCCTGTATCTTATTGAATGCAAAATGAGGAACAGACTTAGAATCATAGTATCACAGAATCATTAAGGTTGGAAAAGACCTCTAAGATCATCTAGTCCAGCTGTCAGCCTATCACCACCACACCCACTAACCATGTCCCTCAGTACCATGTGTCCATGTTTCTTGAACACCTCCAGGAACAGTGACTCTACCACCTCCCTGGGCAGCCTGTGCCAGTGCTTGATGTCTCCTTTGTAAAAGAAGCATTTCCTGATATCTATCCTGACATCCTGATATCCAAGTTGCACCTCTCCTGATGCAACTTAAGGCCATTCCCGCTAGTCCTATCACTACTATGTGGGAGAAGAGGCCAACCCCCACCTCACCACCTCCCCTGAGCCTCCTCTTCTCCGGACTCAACCATCTCAATTCCCTCAGCTTCTCTTCATAAGAGTTGTGCTCCAGACCCTTCACAGTTTCAGTGCCCTTCTCTGGACATTCTCCAGCTTAAAACAAAGATGTATTTGTTTTTGCAGGATTTTCTTCAGGACTGACCAGTGACCTACTGTGTCCTGTTTTAGTGATATTGCACAAATGGTTGAGCTGATATAAGCCAAAAGAAGGGAAGAAGTGGAAGGAAGAAGCAACGGGGAATTCCGTAATCTGATGTTGCTTCCAGTTACATAGTAGCTTGGAACAAACTGCCAATAAGCTGGAGGAAGAGCAGTGAATTCCCTAGAGGATCCTTTTTGCTTTCTCAGTGCTTCTGCAAATAAGTTTCCTTCCACAGCTATAGCAGAGAAAAGCCTTCCATGGGTTCCAGCCTGGGATATGTTAAGGTGAAGCTGGGTTTAACAACTGGGTTTAGAGGTGCTCCCAGAAGCTGATATTTTGTAATTACTTTGCATGAATTCAGCCTTTTTTTCTCTCAGAAAGCCAAGTCTCAACTGTATTCCTTGGTGTCAGTTTTCTGCTACTGACAAGTGAGTAACTGTGACTCAAGGGGAGAAGTGTTTGCCTCATCCTCCCGCTGTGGCAGTCTAGAAGCAGGTATAGAGTTATTTCTGTATTATCGCTATAAATCATTAGCACAGTGGAAATGGTGTGTCAGTGTATGGTAATATGAAAGATGGAAATGCACAGTCTCAAATAGTGGTCACACTTAGGGACTGTGTGCTTTGGCACAGGGGATGCGATTCTGGTTACTGATGTGTGGCTCTGTTGCACAGGCACAACTTCAAGAGGGAAGCCATTGCACTGGCAGGAACTCTGTTCCCTGTGTTCAGAGTGTGAGAAATGTGATGCATTTTGTAAGAGAAAGGTGGCACTCAGATTATTCTGATGAAATGCAGGGACAGACAACTGGCTATAAAGTTTGTGTTCCTAGTTGTATTCCATGTGCCCAGACATGTGAAAGGCTAGAAGCAGCACCATATGGTTGCCATGGGCTTTTCTGCAGGCTGTAGTTGGACCGCGCTGCTTATCCAAACTCTGCATGGGTGGAAATATAGGTGCTGTGCCACTTGGGACTAGAAAAGTAGTTTTGAGGAGGTGAACAACATGTGGACATTTCATCCTACTGGAAAGGTGCTTTGTTGGAGCAGTACTCTGATGTGGTTCTTTTCAGCAGCACTGTAAAGAAAGAAAGTATAATAAATCCAGAGCTTTTCCTGAGGCCTTGTCTCTGCCTTTCTAGTCCCTGTCAAGGTCATCCAACCAGGGAATAACTGGTACTGTACTGTCCCCTTCTCCCTCTCTTTCTCAGGCAGATGCATCCCTTCTTCCTAACTTTGAGTGTTATCTCAAAAGCATTTTTAAAGAGATCTGTGAAGCTGGCAAACCACTGCTACCTTAAGTGGTAAGTGATTGCATGCTGAAACTGAAACCTCGGGGAGGCAGTTCGTACCACCCAATGTGAAATCCCTCAAGTTGATCATTTAATCATAATCATAATGCATGCTCCTTCCTTAACCCATGGAGAGAGGGACAGAAGCTTCCAGAAGGCAAGTACTAACCCAAGATAAACATCTAAGATGAATGGAATGAACGAAACACAAAATAGATTACCTCCTTTTTGACCACTTATAATAAAATACAGCTTTGCAGTGACATTTGCTGACTGACACTTCATGTTATACACCCATGGTCAGCTGCAGAACTGCGTGAAAAGGAGCAGACCCATGGCAACACTATTTTAAGCACAGAAACTGAAAGCTGTTCACTATAGCCAGCAATGAGGCTCTATTCTGGTTGCTGTACCACAGCTACAGATATGGTGACTGTGGCTTAGAGAAAGGCGTTACTTGAGATTAATTGAGAGAACCAGTAAATTGAGTGTGTGCAGCTGCTAAGCTATATATTTGTTCACCTCCTGGTACTGCTTGGGCAAATTACCATCTGATGTCAGATTTTAGTGCTGAGAATGCTTTTCTGTGAAACTATTTTGTAACAGTGTCAGCACAAACCTTTTTGTTATCAACTTTTTTATGATCAATCTTAGGCTCAGATTTTCTAGGACATAATTACTTCTCAAGCACTCTGGGTCCAGCTGGTTGGAAAATGTTTTGCACAAAAGGACCAGTAGACCTGGTGGTTGACAAGTTGAATGTGATCCAGCATCGTGTCCATGTGGCAAAGAAAGCCGCTCACATACTGGCAATATTTTGAAAAGCATAGCCAGCAGTTCAAGGGAAGTGATTATAACTTCATATTCAACACTTGTAAAACCACACCTGGGACTCCCCACTATAGGTCAGATATTGACACACTCCAGCAGAGGCTGACAAAAATGGTCAGGAAGCTGAAGCAGTCGACATACGAGAGACTGAAAGCTGAATTTGTACAGTGTGAAGAGGAGATGCTTAAAGGGAGATCCTACTTCTGTCTTCAGCTAGTCAAACTCTTCTCAGAAGTTCACAGTGACAGCAGAAGAGGCAAGTGACACTAGCTGGGAAATGGAAAATTGTCATTAGATATAAGGAACCCTATGCTGTGTTGGCCAAACACTGGCACAGGTTGATGGGAGAAGTCATGGATTTACATCCTTGGAGATAATCAGCAGGAAAAGACTCTGAGCAAACAGATCTAGTCCTGCTTTGAACAGGGAGCTGGATCTGATGATCTTGGAGATCCTTTCCAATAAGAATGATTTTATGATCCCGTGTTTTTCTTGTACCGACTGAAGCTTTAATATTTATCTCTTACATATCTAAGGTCTTTCTTACTGCATTTAAATAATATATAGGGCTTTTGTGCAATCAGATTCTGAGCCATATGTATTAAAGAATCTATTTTTTGTGTATGCAACATGTCTGCTATTACTTTGCACCTCCCTTTAGAAATGGCCTCGCAGGAGAAAAGAAGAAAATCTGATATACCAGAAAAAGTTTTGCAAGAACAAAAGAAAGAAAAAGCATATATTATACATTATGTAAAGTTAACTGAACCCGATAGAGAAGAAGGACCCTTTTCAGGTACGAATTAGGCTTTTGTGTAATAGTGTAAATTTTGTGTAATAGTCATAAAATCACAGAATCACAGAATCACAGAATTGTAGGGGTTGGAAGGGACCTCCAGAGATCATCGAGTCCAACCCCCCTGCCAAAGCAGGTTCCCTACAGTAGGTATGGCACTGTGATAGATCATTCTCAGAAATATGTCACAGCATCAGCCTGTGGGGGCTACAGCCACTACATATTGTTGAAGTAGCAAAACAGTGGAATTGTAGCGTAAGAAAACAATCTACAATATTGACCTGGCTTTGAAGTGACAGTGAGGTTGAAGGCACGAGGCCTAAAGCACTCAGGAGAAAGGTGCTACTTCTGAACCCTTTTGGGTTCAAAAACAATCCAACACAATGACAACCCTGTAGTCTCTATCTCAGCAAATAGTAACTATGAAGGAAGACAAAATTACTGCAGGCCATAATCCAATTCTGCTTTTTGTTTATTTGTTTGTTTTTTGTACATGAAGACCTATTCTCCCCCTATCAAAGGAAAAAGAAAGGAAGAGATTGTAAACAACCTGCAATCTTTATATTTCTTTGCAGACGTTCATGAGTCAATATTACAATGTGAGAGTCTTGTCTGTGTTTGGCAACAGAGGATATAAATTATTAGATTCACGAAGTCTGCAGAACACCTCTCATTCAGTCTTTGTTATCTAGTGTTTACATTCCCCTAAGAAATTCTGTAGTGCTTGACACACTTTTTCATATCATAGATGCTAATAATGCCCCTGACAGCGGTAGTGTGGAGGGTGACTGGGAAACCAGATTCCATTTTATGGCAAGCAAGAAAGATGAAGAGGAAAAACTGATGTTCAGATCCCAAGTAAAAGTATGGCATTGCATCTTGAACAGGAAGACTGCTCTCAGCCTTCAGGTACAGCCGTTAGAGATGCAGTGCACATGTTGCTGTATTTAATCGTCAGTTTTCATTCCAAGCATCCAAGCATTGGAAGTTTTCATTCCAACATCCATGCACGTAACAGTCGGTTTTCCTTCCAGGCTTTGCAACATCATTCACAGAAAAAAAAAAAAAAAAACTTAAAATTGGCCCTGGACAACAGCATGAAAAAAGAAGTGACTAGAATGATTAAAATGGTTTTGATAAAATTAGAGCAGCTGTAGGCATAGCTCTTTTACATGCTTTTCTTCTATAGTACCCTTGCCTAAATTCTTCACTGTTTATTTGTTCTTTCTTGTACTTTCACCCTGTCCTTTTACTGTCTTATTTTCTTTCTGATGCATTCCACATGATTTTTATGGCATTTGGTCTGCATTATACTTTCTGCCTAAGTGTTTGCCATTCAACCCAAATTAGGCCAGCACCACGAAAAGGAATCATCAGACGTAGAAAATGAGAGAAAATTTCTCCTGCTTTTGGCAAGAAATCAGCAGAGATTTCATATTTCAGGGTTTCTGTGAGTATGCCTGTTGATACAAGCATTGTCCATTAATGGATGTGAACCAGCCATTCTGGTCAGATAAAGCTTCAACCAAATTCATACTTGGGATTCTCTGCCAGAATTCATGTTTCTGACCATAAATTAACACGATGAAATAATTTTCTAAGCCACTTTTATATAGTTTGCAGGCTTCAACCCACTGTCTGCAGCAGGCGTTCATTGGAGTAGGAGTTGGTATCTGGATAAGCAAAATCCTTCTTGGAGGTAGATAGTGTTTCATGTACAGACTATAATTCTCAGAGTAAATACATCTAGTCAAAAGGTAGATGGGGAAAAACTGATCAGGGATTTGGGGAACAATTCTAACTTAATACTTCCTGCTTTAAAAGCACACCAGTCTTAAGCAAATACTGTGGGTAAATTAACTGTAAGTATTTCATTCCTTTTACTGTGATCTTGAAAGAACTGGTACTATTGTTTTACATTCTATCATCTAGAAAACCTATTGAAATGTCAGTATTCCCAGTGAATTTGATCAGTATCTGAAACTGCGATGCTGTGATGAGGCTGTTTGGAAGAAATGATAACAAGTGCCCCGTGTTGTTTGCCAGTATGGTAAAAATGTTGTCTGATGCCTATTCATTTTGAAGTTCTGCTGCCATACACATGAGAAGTGTCATTATCAAATCGAGCAGATTGTGTTATTTATTATCCATTTCTGCAAATTTCACCAATATTTAAACTGGCAGTAACAGAGATGGAAATACCAGAACTATCGTCATGAGCTAACGCTGCTGTGAGTTCTCTTTTTTAGTGCTATAAAAAGCAGTTATTGATTTTTCACCTTCTTGCCAGCAATGCCCTTAAGTGGTTATAGAAAAAGATATTTATAGAACTTTTTTCTCTTTGCTGAGAAGTGTGCAATAATTTAACTCTTCTGATATATAAATCACCTCCAAAGCATCCAAATCAATGGAGCTACTCCACACTTTACCAGCTAAGAGCTGACATCCTTGAGTGATCCCTACTTCTTTTATTCAACTTATGCACATTTTTCCTAGTTACTGAGAGAATTATTTGCTGACATTGCTGTCATTTCACAGATATTTTGAGGCGTCTCACTGGGCCTCGCCACGCACTAAAAAGGCTCTTTGTACACGGTCATCACTGGTGAAATCTGCCTTGCTGTGCTGCATCTGTACTTTTTCAGGAGTAGCTGCATAAATTCTATTCTACATTACTTAAGAGTGCTCATCTGCCACTGCAATGACCCTGCCTTAGGGAGGCCTATTCTCCCAATGCATGTTGCAGAGAAGTCCAGGCTTGCCTTGAGTGAGCTGACATTTTCACACCAAAAGATGTGGCTGCAAGCAGGAGACAGGATGGATCTGCAGGTTAGCCAAGTAACACTGCACTCTTATGGCCGTGCTACTTCCTTTTCTGGAGCAAGCTGGTCTACCTGAGAATAGACACTGTATAACTTCATGCAGCTTTGCTGAGTCCTCCAGTAATGGGAATGTGAAAATTTGTCACACTGTTCTTTTTTATCTATGAGAGAACAGAGAGATGTGATGTTTTACCAAGGTTGGGGTTGTGTTCCTTAAAATTGTTCCTGTGTCTAGAAATTCCAGAAGTCTGGGTGAAGTCAGTAAAGATATCTGCATAAAGGAATTGCATGGTCACTACCTTGAGTCATGCTAAACTCAGTTCAGAGTAAGCTCTCTTGGCTGCCATTGAAAATCAATCCAAAACCCTCCAGTGCAATTAATATATAACAGTTGTCAACACTATCAGCTTTCTTTCACATACCTTTATCTCTGTTTTACAAAGCAAAGTCTTATTTGTCTAAGGCACCTTTCCTTTGAAGTACTAAAACAGAAGTGTTGATTCATTAAAAGATTAGTTAGCAATTTTATTTTCCTGAGTCACCAAGAAGTTGCAATTTGCTGAATATAAAGCAATCCTAAATGTTATCAATACTGCTTTCTTTTGTGAACAGGAAATATTTTTCAGTGTCTGAGAAAGGTGTTAGATATGAAAGTATGTTTTCATACAGCTCTACAGCAAGTATTGCTTTTTGTGATTGAAGATGTAATTAGAAGCTCCAGCAAAAGCCATCCTTTAACTTAGTGATATCTAACCACAGTTATTTTGTCGTTTGAGAAATGTGCCTGCCTTTTAGGCTTTTATGATCCCATCAGCAGACAGGGACCAAAGCATCCAGCCCACTGTCTTGTCCGTGGAGAAGTTAAAGAAAGAGATCTGTCTAAGTGCAGAATGGGATTAAGGAGCCAAACTCCCTTAGTGCACAGTAGCTGACTCCAGGGCACTCTGGAAAAGACAGAGGAGTCCAGAGATACATCCCTTTTCCAGTCTTGCTGAATGCCAGCCCTCCTGCCTAGGTCCAGCTGGGAATCCCAATGCCATCATCTGCTTTAAGCTGAAACAGGACACATTTCCAGGGTTTGCTGCTGTTTCAGAAGCCACTCATTTAGAAACAGAAATGCTATGAACTGAAAAAGGGAAGGGCTTGCATGTGAAGCAGAACCACTTCAATTCACACAGCTCAGTAAATGTCAAGATATTTCTTCTTGGGCATGTCGCTTAGAAGGCAAAGTGCCTGTTTTTCCTCTGCATGCTCAAAGATGGCTGTTTAAAATCAGAAAGAATTGTTGCAGCTATTTGTTGAAGAACTGAGCTTTGTTTCGTATGAAGAACTGATACTTGAGAACTCTTATCTGTTCATAAATTACCCAATTTGAAATAATTCATCAGCATAACACATTTAAATCCATGAAAAATCCTTCAAAATCCTTCTGGTATTTAAGTCTATCTTGCTCATCCTACATCTCTTGAAGATTTCACAAGCAGTGATGAGAACATTCCACTGGATGTTCATTTTTGCTGGAAATATTTTTCCTCTTTGAATGAAAATTTGCAGATATTTTTTTAACATCTAGAAGAATTTCCAGTTTGGATTTCAAGTTTAAAGAAATATAAAGGGTCTACCTGCAGTCCTGCAGTATTACCATGGGAAATCCTCAAATGAGGTACAGTTGTTCTTGCAAAACAGGTTCAAAGAATCCCAGAAAATTCTGAACTCAAATGCAGCATGTAAATCTCATTTCATAATGGCATTATTTGTGATTTACATTCATATATCTATCTATTCTAACTCTTAGATTGTACTGTATTGTATTATAACCCTTAGATCCAGATTTGATGTGACCACCAGCAATTTAGTAGGTAGTGTATGTTACGTATACTGTGTATCTATCTGCCACGAAAATGATAAGTAATTCTGGCCTACAAGGAACGAGAGGCTAGATTCACATATCTCTTAAGGCATATTTGAAATTGTATGTGACATTAATTAAATATTATCTCAGCATTTATGAAGTTGAGATTGGATATATAACAATAACCACATACATTCCGGAGGGGTCATAATAATGCAGAAGCAGCATTCTCCTAGCAGAGCTTAGAATAAAACTTCCCATGTTAGAACTGAAAGTAAGAGTTCAATAAGGGAGCAATAAAATGAAAAAGTGCTTCATTGCCTGAATCTGAAGCTGTTTGGATTGCATGTTTTGGGAGTTTTGGATCCACTTGAGAGGGTGAGTATATTCCAGAACTAGACTGGATGGGTTGAGCTGATAAATCAGCTATACTTTAGGAAGGTCACAAAGGGAAGTCTAACACAGTTTGAACAACATTAGAAAGTAGGTGGAAAAAAAAGAAAAAGTAAGCCAAAAATCACAGAGCTTCAGGCAGCTACAGAAGTGGGCCACTTATTTCATGGAACAATTAGGAAAGCAGCCAGAATGAGGGCACTGATAAGAGAGGACCTTGGTGCTCTTGGTGATTACAGGTGTAGATACTGTGTGTCAATATCACAGCACTTTCTCTGTGCTTTATTGCACATTCCTTCTCTGATCTATCTACATTGAAAAAGCGTTCACTGTTCTGCAGCTTTTCTTGGTGTGCACAAACAAGTCCCTCCACAACAAAACTTTATTGTAGATGTGAGAGCAGCACCTGCTTTATCTTTCTTTTTCACATTCGTTGAATGCTTTAGGGCTTTTCTTCCTGTATACTGTTGTACGCTCTATAAGGACATCAGTATGGCAGCTTTCAGGAAGTGCCCTCGTGCTATTTCAGACTGCAGTCTGAAAACAAAAACAAACCTTGCAGAATAATAATTATACACAAAAGCAGAAGGGAGTTCCCTAGCCAAAAGCTATGCTGTGTAAGTGCAGTCTGTTCTCAAGCAGGCCAGCCGGGCAGTGCATGTGCCACTCAGTACCACATGACCTGTGGCAAGGGATTGCTTTTGATATTTTGATAAACTGAATAGAAAGTTGCATTCTGGACCTTGTCCACGCTTGAAAAAAGAGAACAGGTTATTTGGACGTGATGGAAATGAGCAGGAATGAGAGTGGAGGACTTTGTGGCAAGAGGCAAGGTGGGCTGGGCTTTGGGTTTGCTGACATTGTCTTCAGGCATATCAGTGATGCTGCTTAAGCTGACTCCATCCAAAGGAGAATCAAATATTGGTGTTTCTAACATTCATGACACATCTGTGAGTCCCAGAGAACTGTTCTTAAGGATGTTACTTATTGCATTTAAGTGAAAACGCTGAGAGATTTCCTTACTCAGCTGTCCCATTTTTTTATATTTCTTTTAGGCCTATTTTTTGTTTCACCTTCCAGACCTGACCCCATTGATGGATATTTTGGTCTGCCTTAACTTGTCATTCAATAATTTACTCTTCTTTCCTATGGAGGTATGCACTGCTTATTTTCCATGATTTCACTAAAAGTGATCTAAATCTGAAATTCTACTGTTTGGATATAAAAATTAACTTTCAACAAGCTGTTGTTTAAATGCAAGTGTCATAGCAGAGCTGCTTAAAACAAATGAAAAAAAATAATAGTTAAATGTTAAAATATGCTTTGGTTACTTGGAGTTCAGTAAGAATTATGGGAACAATCACAGAAGTCTTTGCAGCTGTTCTCCCAGGCTTCTGTCTGCTCCCACAGGTCCTCCTGTCCCTTTTATATTTTCTTGCTCCAGCAGCCTGCAGCAATAGTTCCAAATGTCTCCAGTTTTCCCAACACACTTAAGATATTCAGACAGGATCTAAGGCAGCTTAAAATCTGCATTTACTGTGAGAAAACAAATTAGAGCATGCTTGGTGTGGACCAAAACACTAGGAGTAAGTAGCTACTAAAGTTTAGAAAAGTGAACACATACAGATTGTATTATTTTTCCAGGCACTTGCGATTTGATCCATTTCTGACCATGCAGTCAGATGTTTGCATGTTGGAAGACTGTGGACATTTCACAGAATCACAGAATTGTAGGGGTTGGAAGGGACCTCTGGAGATCATTAAGTCCAACCCCCAGTTTCCCTGCTTCTTGTTTTTCCAAGCACTGCACAGGATGGCATGCACACTGTTACTGTAGCTGAGGCACTGGTAGCCACGTAGTTACATGGTCACCTCCATTCAAGCTGTGTTTGCCTTGACAAAGGCTGTGCTTGGCCAGCTTAACATTGCAGATACAGACTAGGATGGTTCTGGAGGTTCTCCAGTCCAAATTCCCAGTCAGAGTAGTGCTAGTTTAGACTTTCTCACGTCATCCTCAACAGTGCAGGGCCCCTGAGCTATAGGAGGTAAAACAGTATTTTTCAGGCTTTTCCAAAATGTGATCCTCCCTGCCTTTTTTGACTTACCATCTGTATGCAGCCAAGCACACAAGAGCTTAAGTGAGATGAATAACTAAAATAATAATGTTCCTAGTAGTTAACAGTCTCTTTCGAAAACTTTCACAGCTCTTTTTTGTGATTTTGATCCATGATTTGGAAAACACTGCAGTAGCCCTTTCAGAACTGGGAGTCATAGAATCATAGAATCACCAAGGTTGGAAAAACCTCCAAGAACATCTAGTCCAACCTTCCCCCTACCACTACTATTGCCCACTCAACCACATCTCTCAGCACAACATCTAGACGTTTCTTGAACCCTTTCATGGACAGTGACTGCATCAGCTGCCTGGGCAGCCCATTCCAGTGCCTGACCATTCATTCAGAGAAAAAAATTCATCAAGTTGAAGAGTATTCATCAGGTTGTTTCTTTTTAAATGCTGACCAAACAAAATAGATTTTTTCCCCACTTCCCTTCATGTGTCTTTAGCAGAAGCATTTTTGAAGCAGGCATAATAGAAATTGCAAATTTCACCTCAAAAAACGCAAGATCAGAAAAAAAAACAAGGCATATCATCAGAAATGCTGAACAGTCTTAAAAACCAGCAGCACTTGCAACTCTTCTTGCAATTCTCAATTACAGTGTTGTAATCAATACAGTAAGTGATTGGCAATTGTGCCTCATGTGGTATCTGCAGTAATACTATCCATCTATCTGTGTAGTAGTCGTGCTAGCAAATCTCATTATATTCATTTCCCCATTCTTCCAGCATAGTTTGCTGTTAATAGAAATGCAGAAAGCTTGCAACAGAACAGTGACATGCTGTATGATGAACAGATGCTGGTTTTTATCGTTCCCTTCTCAGGTGTTTCGTATTAAATCCTTACAAGTCCTTGTGCTCCGGAGCGACCCCATCAGAAAAATTCCAGATGACATTCACAGATTGAAGTCACTGTAGAAATTTACGATTTCCTTCAATTTGTTATCAGAACTTCCATCTGGGTAAGTTTTTGTTTGTTTGTTTGTTTGTTTTCATTGAGATGTTTGTGGATTTCTGTCTTGAACCACATTATAATCTGTCACTAATTTTCATTTTAGTCATATCACTAAGCCAAACAGAAAGACTTTATCGTGGTGAAGAAAATAGAAGTATTGGAATAGTTAATTGTAATTGCTTGCCTTATTGAATCTTCACTAAGAATATACAGGTACACCAGTTTGCTGCAGCTCATTTTCAGTAAACTGACATTTTAGCTGAAAATATCTGGGAGAAGAATGACCTTGTGGCTTCCATTCTTGGCTCTACTGTCTGTCTTTGTGTTGCAGTAAAAATAGGTGAAATTCAAAACTTAGTACATTAAAATATGACTGTTCTGTTGAGATGCTGTGGTATGGAAGTAAAATCCCACATCTAGAGAATTTTGGAATGCTAAGACCCAGCTTCAACCGCCTTAGCTTTAGGTATTTTAGGTATTTATTTAGGTATTTATTTATTTAGGCATTTAGGCATCCATCTCAACATCCACAGTGAGTGGAGAGAATATCTCTAGAGGTCATTTCAGCTCATGTAAGAGCTGAACCATAGTTTTGGATATACCTAAAAGAGACTAAAACATCGTAGCAGATATGAAAAATAGAGGCCTACACAATGTGAAGCAGTAAGGAATGGTCTGAGGTTCAGGGCAGGACTGGATGAACTCCAAAGGTTCCATTCAGCATTTGTTATTCTGATTTTTGCGTTTCTCTGTTTAGGTTTCTAATTCTTAGTTCTGTTTTCTTTCCTTATAGCTTGTTTTTATTAGAAGATCTCTGGTACCTGGACATTGCCCATAATTATATTAGCTATATTCCTAATGACATCAAGAACCTCAGGTATATAAGCAGCATAAACTGAAATTAGATTTCTACAGCATAATATATGGAGTATATTTGGATGTTAATTATGTAAGTGAACACGTGAGGAAGATTCAGTGTGCCCTCTCTCTCCCTTCTCCTATCCTCTGTGAAAAGCTCATTTAAACTGAAACAGTAAATGACAGCTGTATAGCTGTGTCACTTGATGGTAGCTGTAAGTCAAATATTCACATGCAAAACATGCTTGTTCTCTCATTTGGACTACATGCATACACATGCACTTGATTCTTATGATAAGGAAAGAGAAGATACACTTCCAGGCCAGGTGTGGTTGCTTTCAAGCAGTGCTGTTTCAAGTGTTGATTAAACAAGAATTAAAACCAAGCTCACTCACCCAGTAGAAACAGTAGAAAAGCAAATTATTCATGTGTGTCTTTAATGTTGATGGTATCTGTGCATGTCTAATGTATTCAGATATACCAGACTTGTCTTTCAAGATAACTCAATATTTAAATTATATTTAGAAAAATATTATATGTACAATTCTATCCAGTACATAAAGCGTGCTGCAAAAAAACACGTAGCATTTTGTGCATAAGTGGCTCAGTAGTTAATCTGATGAGAGTTAGGCAATTATATAAATCACTGTCACGTTAGGATATGCTGTGAACAACCTGTGAATTCCTGATGTCCTTAAAATTACAGAAAGCTTGAGTATCTGAACACTGAAGGGAACCAGCTCTCTGCTTTGCCATCCGGGATTTTGAATCTTCCACTAAAATTCCTCAGAATAGAAAATAATTTCTTACACCCTTTGTTACAGAATGAAAAGATTCAGAACCAACCTCAGAAGCTGATTCATCTGGCTGCCCTCTGCTTCTCCACAAATAATCTGAAGGAAGGATACAACATTACAGAAGGTATTAAAAAGATTTTGAATGAGTAAGTAATACAGAATTACGTCTTGTTCCCTTGCTCAACAGAGGAGCACTGTATGCAAAAAATAGTTAGTTGGCCCCAGTCAGAATGCAAGTGTTAGGAGTGTGTAAGTCCATACTTTATCCATTTCTTCACATGAAATTAGTGTTGATCAGTGATATGCTATTACATACTGCAGTAATAGCAATAGCTATAGTTCCATGTAGGTATGCTCAGTTCACATTTTGAGTGTATCTGAGTGAATGTGAAAATACAGTTAAGATTAGTCGGATGCTGCATGCAAATACATTGTTCTATTTAATGTTCCTAGGATTTTACACAGACACTTGTCCTCCAGACAAAACTTGTGTTGCAGCTTCATGTTCTGGCCCTACATTGAGCCGGTCTGTTGGGAAGGGAGATTGACCTGAAGCTTACAGCTGAGATGAAAATGATGTCAGCTCCATTTCTGGGAATTTCAGAATCATTTTCTTCCCTGCCTCTCCACTCCACCCCAACTGCACAGCACATCCTTCTATTTTTGATGTGCCTGTCTCCTCCTTCCCCATGGGAGCCATGCAGACTGTGCATTAAGGCTAGAGTAATTACTTTTTTGGAATAGAGCGGGCCTCTGCTAAAGTGGAACTGAGGAAGTTTAAGCACCTTCTTCAGTGATGAACCACAGTCATTCTGAGGCCAGCTGATTTCTTTAATTTGTGCTTTTGAGTGAGGAAGTTGAACAGCTGGGGGGGGGGGGGGCCCTATATAACCTTAGGAGGATGATGCAAAATTTTTGATCCAATTTCTTACCATTTTAGATTTAGTGTCTGTGACTGCTGCAGCGGACCTTGATATGGCAAAGGACTTCAGCTCATCCAAATGTACAGAAATGTATTTAAATTTGGAAGGCTTCCTTTTTACTTCTATGCCTGCTCACCATCGTGCCATAGAAACTTTGTGTCTCAGCCTGAAGCTTGACTCCAGTACTTCGTGAAAAGGTATCTGGATTGCAGAGCAACTGTGAATGGGATAAAATGGTTCAGAAATATGAGATCTTGTGTTGTGTCATTCAGGTGGACAGCCTGGGACTCTGCTGGTGTGATGGGATCACTTGCTGCAACTCCATCTTTCTTAAAGTGCTTTCAGCTCTGAATGGTCTGCTTCGTATGAATATGTAGCTGTACTGAAATGAAATGTAGACTCAGCTCTATGTAAAGTCAATGAAGTTAGATGCTGACCCTGTGTTTCCTCCAGTGACACCTGACGAGGTATCAGATTCTTCCCCACAACTAGCAATAAGCCATTTTACATCACTGTTCTTGTCAGTGCTTTAAGAATGGATAACTTTATTCCTGAGGTACATATTACATTCCTCAGTTATTTGTCAAATCTGCAATATTTTTGTAAGTCATGGAAGGTCCTGTAAATGTTTTTTTATTTATAAAGCACTTCTTCTACTATAGCAAGAACTCTTAATATTTTTTTAACAAATTTCAGTCCCCAAAGCTGAGATGTCTGATGCTTTTCTAAACATAATGATACTAATATTAAAATAAACAAAACCCTCATCAGAATGACTTAATGAGGAAGACAGCCTACAACAGATCTGGGATCAGAGGCTCCTTTCTCTTCAGATTTCATGCTTTTAGTACAGCATAGTCAATGCTTTGTGTTGTTTCCCACCCTGTGTCAGTGAAAGTGTTAAAATATACAAAGACATTGAAACTTATCTGCCATTTTAGGAAAGAATAAAACCTAATTATCTGATTTTATTATCAGTCAGTACAGCTACTGAACTATCACATGTAACAGATCTTTTGCATCTTTAATTAAATGATCAAAATCCATTATAAAGGCAACTATGATCCAGAGACAATCCAAAGGGAAGAAGAAGGAAAAGTTAAGGCAGAGATGAAAAACTGATGACATTCTTTGTATGCATGCAGTCCCATGGATGGACCACCATCTCTGCTCCAGTGACTAGATGGCAGAATTTGTCCCAGAATAATTGTTGTATAAAATGTATCAGCAGCATCAAGAGCAGGGCCCATTCTCCTATGACAGTGTCATCAGCACTGGGCCACAAAGGCAAGTTCTGCAGATTTCTCTGTCCCGTCAGTCCTGGATGTCTGATGACAGGTAGGTAGCATCAGTACACAAGAAGAAAAGCAGCCCCCTATCCTTCCCCATCACTTCCTCTGCTTTCCACCCCTCATCACATTACTCCTGCTGACTGTCTGGTGCACTCTGCTGATATACGATCACAGGGAGTCGAAGCTGCCTCAGCATAAGGAGTGCTTTTCACCTCCTGGTAGGTGCTCCAGCCTCTGTATATCTGTGCACGAAAATAACTTTGCAACATTTTCCTTACTTACTGTACTAGTTATAGTAAAAAACTCAAACTGCTTTCTCTGTGCTGAGACTTTAATGGAGGCAGTGTGTTTAGCTGGATGTGTGTTCAGTGCGACTACCCAGCTGTGGGCTGCCAGGAATGGGGCTGGTGGCAGGAAAGAAATTGGATCGACGTAAATGCAAAAGCAGAAATGAATAGTTCAGAAAGAGAACTGAAAGGGGGAATTCAGAGGTTTACCAGAACTCGTGGCACTACAGCGAAGAGATCTGAAGGCTGCTATGCAAAAGACAACAACCATTATTCAAAGACAAAAACCAGGGAAATGTCACTTACCTGAAGACTGCCAGTTGCTAAATTCTAAGCCTTCACATGCAGAGTAGGAAATGATTTAGCATCTGCAGTGCCTACCATTGAGCAGGTGAGCTGAGCTACCACCTCATAATATTGAGAGGAACTGAAAGAAACCAGCTACTTTGCAGTGGAGGAAGAAAGAATTTTATCTTCATATAAAGTTGTCTGGAACTGATGTAACCTGGAGAATCTGTGCATGCTAACGAATAGCTGAAATTCAAGATAATATCAAAATGTCACCAAAACCAGGAATTACTGATTATGATTACAATCATCATCAAAAAACAATGATTACAGTAAACTTCCCAGCAGCCTTTGGCTTTGTCTCACATATTCCTGGCTGCTCCTGGTGAGGAAGGTGAGCTGTAACACTGAGGAATACCGTAGGTCCTTCTGCAGCTTTGGTTGTAGATAAACACAGACACACATAGCTTCCTGTGCTCTGGGCTTGGAGCTGGCTTGCTGAGAACAGATAGAGCTGGGCTGTGCCAAGCTGGCTTGAGGAGGTGGTTTGTGTGAGCCCCTGTCCCAGTTGCCATGCTTTTAGGGCACGGTAGTCCTACTCCTTCCAAAGACATTTGCTGATGTTGAAATGTTCCAGGGATGTCTTCAATAGTTTCTTGAATTATTTTACGAACAGATGTAAAGCTTCCCAGGACTAATTAATAGAAGATATCTGGACTGAAAGAGTTTCAAATGCAGTCAGGATTTCTGAATCAGATTCACAGCCTCTCTGCCAGGCTCCAGGGTAGATGACCATACTTTCTCTGCATTTCTAGCTTGGCAGCAGTGGAGTTGGCACTTGGTGTGTCCTTCACAGAGAATTACTTGTAAAGGGAGTTAACGGCAATGTAAGGAAGAGAAGTGGGCATTTGGTGGTGTGAGAGTAGCATGAAGAAAATGATGGGTGCTGTTGTGTTCTGCAGACAGAAGAAACGCTGTTGCATGTGGACAGTGCTTCTCCAGGATGAGCACATGCTCACCTCCAGCTTGGGGTGGCTCTGTGAACACACATTTGGATTGGAGAGCAGCACAAGCACGTCAATGTGACATTTGTGAGGTTAGCACTCAGTGCTTTCCTCTGGTTCTGGGCAGATCCGGCAGCTTGCATGGATACACCCGAGGTATATGTGCACAGGCTGAGGCTGTCCATTAGGTCTGCACTGGCCAAATAAATACCTGCAGTGGAACCGAAATACTAAGACAGTTATTGCCCTGCTTAACCCTGCAGTTCATGAGCCTGAATGAAGTTACGTACAGCCAGCTCCCTCTAGTGGTATTTCTCTCTAAGTTCTTATGCCTTGTGAGACTGGGTTTTGCTTTGGGATTTTGTTTGGTTTTGCTTTGCTTTTTATACATGCACACTAATGTGAAGAGGTTATGACATAACCAAGGTTTAAGCTCTCTGAATCACTTCCAGGCTCTTCTGCCCTTAAGGACAAGGTACAGGGAGCCAGTTGCCTCCTGAAATTCCTATCACAGTGTGAAATGAAAATGAAAACCAAGCAAACCTGAGCAAAATTGCAACTTGGCAGGTGGATACATGGCTTTCCAGTTCAACTCGGACTCTCTTTTCTCCTATGCAAAGGCCTTCAAGCCTTCTTTCTGTTTGCCCAGGGTACACCAAATGAACATCCTAAGCTCAACATGAGCATTTTATTAGTAGTACTACTGCAGTGTAACTTAAAGCAACTGAGCCATATCCTGGAGCGTAGGCATCATATTTGATATATGAAGTCATGAAGTATGAAGCAGGACAAGGGGAAATGGTTTTAAGTTGAGGGAAGGAAGACTTAGGTGTCAGGGGGAAATTCTTTGAGAGTGGTGAGGTGCTGGAACAGGCTGCCCAGAGAGGTTGTGGATGCCCCATCCCTGGAGGTGTTCGAGGCCAGGTTGGATGGGGCCCTGGGCAGCCTGGTCTGGTATTAAATGTGGAGGTTGGTGGCCCTGCATGTGGTGGAGGGGTTGGAGCTTCATGATCCTTGAGGTCCCTTCCAACCCTGGCCATTCTGTGGTTCTGTAATGACCAACAGGCATGTCCTCTGCCGTTGCTATGGGAGGAAATGCCAAAGGTTGAGGGCTGTGGGGGTCTACACCCATTCTGTAACTGCAAAATACAGGCTTGTAGGCCACAGCACTTGCTGGTTGACGAGTGGAGCACACGCTGAGGTCCCTTCTGGAACTCCTGCCATGAAGCCACTGCCCACTGCAGCAGAGTTGTGCGTTAGGCAAGCACAGGGAAAGTGCATATATGCCATGGAGTGAAGTGTACCACAGTAACTGCCCCTCTCCTGACTCAGCTCCATGTCATTCCCTTGGGCCCTGTCACTGTCACGCAGAGCAGAGCTCAGCGCTTCCTCTCTGTTCCTTGTGGGAAGCTGCAGCCGCCATCGGGTCTCCCCTCAGCTCCTCTGCTCTGGGCTGAGCAAACCAGAGACCTCATCACTCCTCGTACATCTTGCCCTCTTGATCCTTCACCATCTTCGTAGCCGTCCTTTGGACACTCTCTAGTAGCTTTCTGTTTTCCTTACGTTGTGGCACCAAACCTGCACACACCACACAAGCTTAGGCCACGCCATCTGTAACAAACGCAATAGTGCTGCAGTGTGACAGTGAAAATGCAGGGATTAACCCTGTATTTTGGGATCTGTTTGACAGGAAGGAAGGGACTAAACACCCAACCTTTTCCAAAAATCAGGAAGTACCTGAATCAGTTTTTATTTCACCAGGATACTAAAATAAGTGATTCCATGCCATCAACTTTTCTCTTGCTCCCCCTTTTCCCTGGCCCCAGAAGAACTCATGAGTGAAGTCCTGGCTACGTACAAGTCGTGTGTTTAATAGTGTTTCGTACAATATCTGTGGTCAGGCAGGAGTTAGTGGCAAACAGTGAACACTCAGGTTGGATATCAGTGAAGGGCTCTTCACCACAAGGTGGTGGGCATGGAACAGTCTTTTCCACGGCAGTTGGCACAGCCCCGAGCTGCTGGAGTTCAAGGAGTTTGAATAATGCCATCGGACATAGGGTATGATTTTTAGATGGTGCTGTGTGGGCCAGGCATTGGACTCGATGATTCTTGTGGGTCTCTTCCAGCTCAGGGTATTCTGTGATTCTATAAACACCAGGTGCCCCCTTGGTCCCGCTTGAGCAGAGCTGGAAATGGTCTATGATACAGCAGTGGCAGGACCAGGAGGAAAGTCTGATGCCATCTACTGTCAGATTTGGACAATTGGTTTTGTTTGAGAAACTCATCCTTACGTACTAGCATGACTTCAGCATTTGTTTTCCTGGTAAGATCTGGTACTTAAGAGGCTGGAAGCATCCTTGTGCTGGCTTGTCAAATTGC